CCCAATCGGCCCTACCCTGAGCATGACTGAGGGTGGCATCGCACCTCCCGATCCGCCCTGCTCTGTGCATGACAGGGGGCGGCGCCCCCAACTCCCCAATCGGCCCTGCTCTGAGCCCGACCAGGGGCTGCACCCAGGGATTGGGCCTGCCCTCTGCCACCCGGGAGCAGGCCTAAGCCAGCAGGGCATTATCTCTCGAGGGGTCCCAGACTGCGAGAGGGCACAGGCCGGGCTGAGGGACCCCCCTCCCCCCCGAACGCACAAATTTTTGTGCACCGGGCCTCTAGTCTTTATATATAAAGAGTTAATATGCAAATTTGTCCGGGGCTCCGGACCAGTCACAAACGAATTTGCATATTACCTCTTTATAGGCTGCAAGCGCAGATGAGGGGGTATGGGGACTGCTGTGGGGTGAGCCAAGCCATGGATGGCACAGGCAAGCAACAGGCCCTCAGAAAGCAAGGAGCACGGCCGCAGAGAACAGGAAGCAGGACCAGCCAGTCCAGGGTGATGATCAGGTCTGAAGAGAGCAGAGCAGGGCCTGCCAGCGTTGCAGGGAAGAGCAGGTCCACAGAGAGATGGGTGGAGCAGGCCCGTAGAGGAAACAGGAGCCAAGAGACAGGGGGGCGTGCCCAGGTCGCCTCTGTACAATGATACTCACATTTCCACGTTCTCCAAACTTTTTGTGAGATCACTCTATAACAAAAGAAAACAAAAAATGTTTCAAATGATTAATTCAATTGTATTGCTTTTATCTTTTTCTTATTTTTAATTCTCACCCAAATATGCTTTTTTGTTTGGTTGGTTTGTTTTCTAAATAAAGAGGGAAAAAGAGAGAGAGAGAGAGAGAGAGAGACACCACTGTGAGAGAGAAACATTAATTGCTGGTGCCATGACTGGAGATTGAACCCAAAACATAGGTATGCGCCCTGACCAGGAATCAAACCCTCCACCTTTTGGTGTATGGGACAACACTACAACCAACTGAACCACCTGGCCAGGGTCCTATTGCTTTTTCCTGCTTTACCTCCTCCTATACTTCTAGCCGGTTCTTTACCACAGTTCCTTACCATAAGCTCATCAATCTTTGTATTCTTATAAACCCTGCTACCCAGTTTACTTGCCTATATCAATGTTCTCATCTATTATAGCAACCAGACAGACATGGCCATTGTAGGGCATGTTCTGAAGAAGCACTGATTCTCCAGGTACAGAAGATGGCTTCCCTGCTGATCCTCTGGGCGGCAGAGCTCAGCAAGAAGGCATGCATCCCATCAGTCACAGCGCTAATCACGACACAGATGGAGCCCAGGGATCTAGTTTAAAACAGTTCCCCAAGGGTTTCTGATCTGATCACCAGTTAAAAAGTGCAATGCTGCCAAACCGGTTTGGTTCAGTAGATAGAGCATTGGCCTGTGGACTGAAAGATCTCAGGTTTGATTCTGGTTAAGGGCATGTACCTTGGTTGTGGGCACATCCCCAGTAGGGAGTGTGCAAGGAGGCAGCTGAATTGATATTTCTCTCTTTCCGATGTTTCTAACTCT